GTGTGTGTATGTGTGTGTATGTGTGTATATGTGTGTGTGTGTGTGTATGTGTGTGTGTGTATGTGTGTGTATGTGTGAGAGAGAGAGAGCTCTGGGAAACCTCACGCAACAGCCAAACTAGAACAGAATCAGTGTGTGTGAACGTGTCTGAATCATCTTCTGTCCACACACAGCTTCAGCTCATCAGCAACACACACACACACACACACACACACACACACACACACACATATACACAGCACATTACAGATAGAGCAGATCAGTCGTTCTCCAATATTGATTAGGCTCTGACCCTTCATTAGCTCTAGAAATCCTCTACAGAGATCTAGAACAATCATTAGAGTGATATTAATAACTATAATCATGATATTTCAGTCGCTGTGTAATAATAAAAAGTAAAACAACGTATAAACACTGATAACACTGCTCAGAACAACAGCTGTGTGTGCTGGAGTGTTGAAGTGTAGGGTGTAGTAAAGTTCCCCTGGAGCTGTGTGTGTGTGTGTGTGCATGTGCGTGCATGTGTGTGTGTGTGTGTGTGTGTGCATGTGCGTGCATGTGTGTGTGTGTGTGATGGTGAAGGCCGCCTGGTCTCCTGCTCATCATTTATGGTGTGGAGTGTAATAAAGCTCAGCGGTGCGCGTCAGCACTGATCTCATGTCATCCACACGCAGTGATGAAGCGCTGCAGATCATCTGTGCTCTCTAACCCGGGTCAGGGTCTGCTCCAGCACTCACTGCAGACACGTGCTGTAGTGTGTGAAGCCCGACACATGCCAACATCAGCCTCTTACACACACACACACACACACTCAGCAACATTAGAGTGTGTGTGTATTCAAACTGAAGTGTGGCGTCTCCCTCATCTGCAGAAGCTGTCTCTGGATGAGGAGCTCATGTAGACAGAATCAGAGAAACAGCAGAGCATTAGGAGATCTCAGCATCAGGAGATCCGGCTTGAGACTCATCAGTGTGTCGGCGGTGTGTGTGTGTGTTACTGACCTGCAGTGTCCATGATCGCACCAGCCGTGGCCGTGGCACATCTGTGGACACTGCTGCCCGATGTAGATGTCGTCCAGCGCCCACTCGTCCTGCTCCTGATAGTAGCTCTGGATCCAGCGGAAACGCGTCGCTGAAGACCTGAAGACCAGAACAGAGCCAGAACATCAGCCTGCGGATTAACCCTCAGACCACAGTGGACACGCGTGTTCGTCACACACACGGACTCTGTGCTTTATCTGCAGACACGCAGCATTAATACATGAAGCAAGAGCGCCAGCTACACTGCTGAACACACAACACACACGAACACACGCCTGACAGAACACACGTCTAGTGTAACGCATGTGTGTGTGTGTGTGTGTGTGTGTGTGTGTGTGTGTGTGTGTATGTGTATGTGTGTGGAACTGCTCTCGCTCTACACACACTGTTCACAGGACATGTTTGATGATCAGAGGAGATATAAAGAGTGGTAATGTGTGTTGAAGAGCGGACAACTGTAGTGTCCCTACAAGCAGAACTTCTGTTGTGCCAGTGTAAGACTGCAATAAAGCAGCAAGACTAACTGCAGACGGCCTGTAATGAGGATAAGGAGAGCTCGACACCAACATGCCATGACAAATCATCAACAGGAAGAGCCCGGAGTCGAGCCCCGGGGTGCAGCAGTCGTGTTTCTGATCTGAACTGTGGGTCAGCACCGTGTGTGAAGTGTCTCATATGTGCAGCAGAACACACACACACACACACATGAAGTCAGCACAGTGATCATGCAGGGATCGGCTCTCCTCACCAGGTCTTGTACGGCAGCGGGAGCGTGATGCGCCTCCAGTCGCTGAACTCAGACGGGTGGTAGACACTGGGCGCAGTGAACTCTGAGCAGCTGGGCATGCCGGGCAGACACGCCTGAGGGGAAACACAGAGGTGTGCAGGGGTTACAGCAAGATTAGTACCAAGCTGATCTCAGCCAGTAGGACATGTCCCTGTGTTAACATCTGTGTTGATCCAATCAGCCTGAGGGATCTGTTGAGCGTGTGTGTCGAGTTCAGGCTCCCGCTGAGGGTGATGCGCTCCTACATGAGTGTTCTCCAGCTCTCACTCTCCTCTGATGTGGGAGTAATCCACCGCTCGGGCTGGGTTGGAGTGGGGAACAGGTATGGGTGTTTGATGTTCCAGAATCAACACAGATGTAATGCAGGACCACAGCGCACATGGCCAAATCATGCGGCGCGGGCGTTCACATGTCCAGCACAGCACACACTGATCATCACAGCACCTCCTCTGCTTATTCTCACATCTTTGACCAGATGCCAGGTCAGGCCGTGATTGGTGGAGAACTCCAGCCGCACCTGCGTGTCGATGTGTGGCGACGGCTCGCGCCCGCAGCCCATCACCAGCTGGAACTGGATCATGTAGGAGGCTCCGATCTGCATGGACTGCGTCTCCACATAGCGGATGCTGGAGGACGAGCCGTGGTCACCTGAAAAACTGAGCAGACATTCACATCATCACGCTTCACACTCTCATGTCTGACACTGTCTGATCTCACAGCACTATTAACCACACACACACACACACACACACACACACTTTATACACCACACATACACACTGAACACACACACTTTATACACACACACACACACACACACACACACACACACATACACAAAAGCATATATACAAACACACTTACACAAACACAAACACTGACAAATATGCACTTATACACACACACACACACACACACACACACACACACACACACACACACTAATAAACACAGAGAAAGAGACAGTGGCTTCCAGCCAGGAGTTTTACCTGTTCACCATCTGAACACTGCGCTAGAGCCGTGTGTGTGTGTGTGTGTGTGTGTGTGTGTGTGTGTGTGTGTGTGTGTGTGTGTGTGTGTATGTGTGTGTGTTTGTGTTTGTAGTGTAAAGGGGGATTGGGCTGAGGGGCCTAAAA